CATGCACAGTTTTAAGGCAGCTTTAATCGCCTTTTTGGTAACTTCATGACTTAACTGACCACGACTTTGCATGCACGTAGTTTATTTTGCGCTTTGATATGAAAGGATACAGGCTACAGTGCACGCCGGCGCCTTTGTGCCTGCAATTGAAGAGCCGTTTTTTTTCCGTGCTCGCTTGACTCTCGCCTGGTGCTGAAGTGAAGTGGAGCGTGCGTCTGAAACGTCTCCCATTCTCAGTCGTTCTACGACTGAATAAATGCACTTCTTTGTCAAGAGAAAAAGTGACAGACGCAGCAGTTGTGATTGGGGTGGCCAACACTAGCCCTGGTTCGCTATTTGAGGATGTTCAATGTGTGTAATTTAGGACATCTTTCTTTGAAACTCTACCTCAAGCATCAAAACCCCAGAGTCTTCTGTTGAAGAAAGCAGATAAAAGTGCTATTTTTTATATAAAAATGAAAAAAAGTGTTTAATGAAGCTGCCAGCTGGGTCAGTTTCTCAAACTAGATAATCTCTGATGTACTCCTCATCTTGATGCATTTGGACCTATCCACTTTCTGTCCTGGTAAGATCTAGTTAGATTTCTTTTTTCAAAACACATGGAATATCTGTCCTAAGAACAAGAGATTGATGACTTGTCCCTGGTTTTAGTAGTTCCACAAGAACACATTTTTTCCATTCAAACTCTTTTGAATATTTGCACTTGGTGTGAAAGGGTCTTAAAAACTTGTGGGATTTTAAAGGTCCACTGAAGTGCCTTGAAACACGCACCGTTATGCTATGTGGTGACATAATTTCAACTGTAACAAGAAGACAGGGCGGGATATATTGAACAGCCCCGCCCCCTTTTTAAATAGCCAACAGCGTTTCGCTTATAATATCACAGCTTGGGCCAGAGCCTTTGAGCTTGGTAAAGCCGCATTTGACAGTTTATGACAGCCACAGTCTCATAGGTTAGCCCTTTAGATTCAATATTAAACTGTTACTAAAGCAAAACAGTTATTATGATGCTGAGGATGAAAATTGTGTCATTTATATTGGTGCAGGGCACCAGTTTCATCTCTTCTACTCGTTAGTGGCGTTTGTCTAACCGTTCCTCCACCTAATCTGATCTAAATCTCTATAAAAATATAGCATTCTGTGTAGAATTCAAATGGGTCCGATACATTTTGTGGTCTGCACGACTCGCACATATGATCTGCTCTTTACTATCGTGTCTCTGGACCGGAGCAGACTGTGTGCGTCTTTCGACCCAATGGAAAGCATATTTACACTGTCTGAATCGTTCCATATCCCCCTTATAGTGCACTATGAGCCATTCAGCATACAGAAAATAACCTAATTCTGTTAACAAGTGACCTATCAGCACTTTATTTATAGTCTATTTGTCATATCCCCCTTATAGTGCACTATGAGCCATTCAGCATACAGAAAATAACCTAATTCTGTTAACAAGTGACCTATCAGCACTTTATTTATAGTCTATTTGTAGTGTAGGGGGCGGGACACTTCAGATTCTAGAGAGCATTTGATTGGACAATGTTTGACGAGAAGCTGAAGTGCAGGCCAGGGCATGTCATCAAAATCGTTGATCCATATTGGCGGAAGTGAGAGACTAAGTTTTGAATGCTTATATCTTTTAAATGTGAATTGTGTCATTGTTTTGGAGCACACTAGCTTATAGATAACCTTAAGGCTAACATATTCATACTAAAAAACAAAAAACTTCAATTTTGATTTCATGGGGACTTTAAAGCCATGGTTCGTGTATGCGTGTCTCGTCACAGATTCCTACCTTTGGCCACAGGGGACGGAGTCGGCACATGGTGTCCCCATCCTTGATGGCTTGACCGAAATTTTTCATTTCCATGAACAGCTCTGCCCGCCTAGCCAGGAGCCGACATTCACAGGGCTCTGTGGAGATGAGAAGGGGTTTTACTAAAAAGAAACAGAACAGAAATTTAACTACAGAATTTTAAGGAGGTTGTAAGCTAGATCGCTGTGGCTAAAACATATTAGTAGACTAATGTATTATATATTGTATTACACGCCATGGTAGGGCTGCACGATAAATCGCATTGGAACAGCATTTAATACACAGAACCGTAGTTTACTGACAAGCTACGCAATATCGCGTTCATAATCAAATGCAATTCATCTGCGATTATTAATGCGAAATTGCGTAGCTTGTCAGTAAACTACGGCTCTGTGTATTAAATGCCGCTCCAACTGAAAGCACATGATGGAGATTTACTACTAATCACAGAACCGGCTTTACTGACAAGATGCACATGACAATCGCATGCGATTTATCATGCAGCCCTACTCCATGGCATAAACTATAACAAAGAAACTACAAGGTCCTGAAGGTCCATACTTCTTGATTCTAGCTAAAGCAATAGGGTCTGCATAAATAAAATGATACTGAAAAATGATAAACGAAAATAAGAAACTATTGACTTCAGACAATAATTTTTTCCTTACAAAACAGATAAAACATTTTTATGAAGTGACTTATCCAGATGTGTACCAATTTTTTGTAGAGTATGTCTACACAAGAGGGGTGATGAAAAAGTAGGAACACTTATTCACTCCGAGTCAGACTATAATTAATGAAGAGCATGACTTTTTTTCCTTAACTCATTATAATGATAGCGATCTAAAAGTTACTTTTAGAGCCTGTAAATAAATATTCTGACTTAGCCAGCTATCTAGACTTTACCTATCAAACTAACAATTAGAAGTCAAACTTCCAATCATCTACTAGTGATAAAATGTGTGCTAATTATTCTACAATTGTTGATAGCTCTTGCACATATTCAGCACTAGTGTTGTCAAAAGACCCGGTATTTCGGTACCAAGTCGGTACTCAAAAAATGTTAACGTTACGGTACCAGTTTTTTTTAAGTACCGGTGGTACCGAGTACCCGGTCAACCCGGTTCTTGATGCGCTATCTGAAAGCTATCCTCTTCCAGTGTTGCCAAGTCCGCGGTTTTCCCGCGGAATTGGGCTGCTTTAACACTGTTGCCGCAGGTTGTTTTTCATGTCCGCGGGTTGAAAAACGACCGCATTAACGTGATATTTAGCCCCTGGAATGCGAATTTTACCAGGGGATCCCCGCCAAAACATGCGCATTTTATCCTCGGAATGCGATTGGACGGGTTTTGTTGTGTAAACCTGGCAACCTCTTCTTAAAAGCAGTGGCGACCTCAAGAGGAGGAAACGCATCAAACTAACAAAACACCCCGATCTAAAAAAAATCCTTGGGAGAAACCAGGCTCATTTGGGGGACCAGTTCTCTTCTGGCCCGAGCGAACAAACAGTGTGGTACTGATTGGTTTCAGGCATTCAGGAAGCTTCCAGCCACCAAAGTCCATGTATTAAGAATTTCATTTGAAGAGTTTATCTAAAACGAGTAAACAAATTAACTTTAGATCTTTAGAATTAATTCTTAATTTGCAACCACAATATCAATGTCATGTTATTGTCACATCTAGTTAGTGTTTACACAACACTCTAAAAACAGAAAAAAAATTCATGCATTTTGGCCATTAATTTCCACAAGAACAAGAGCTGCACGACTAATCATTAAAAGCTTGTGATTTCAATTCAAAACTCCATGCAAACTTATTCCTCAATGACTACGATTCTGTTGTCTATTATGGCTCTTTCACATTGCGTCAGCGGAGCAAGAGCAGCACATACTTTTGTCACTGCCCATGTTACAGAACGACATGGTCAGCGGTCACACTTTCAATGTGATTCATTATATGGACTATGGGAAGCCAAACACACGAAAGTGGGACGGCGCGGCACGCGACCTTTGACAAAAACCTTTGTTTTTTTAACTTTAAACCGCATAAACATTTCATTACACCAAATACACAAAATAATGTTCTTTTTAGCAGCATCATATGACCCCTTTAATATCGTAGCTTGTTGGATAGTAAGTCACCCACTAGAACTAACAGGTTGACAATAACTGGTTGTTAAAAAAAATTATTTTCATTGAATCATTCAAGGGGTTCTATTATGCTTTTTCATTTTTTCATCTTTAGTTAGTGTGTAATGTTGCCGTTTGGGCTTAAAAAAAAGATCTGCAAAGTTACAAAGCTCAAAGTCCATTCCAAAGTGAAATATTCTCTTTAACAGAAAATGCTTTAAGAACTACAAAAAATAGCTTGTTCGGACTACAGCACACTTCTTCCTTATATGAAGACACAATATCACTCATTTCAATAATTTCTGCCCACGAAAAAGGGTGTGAGGCCTGGTTGAGCTGCACTAGAGACCATATAGACTATACATTAAAAAAAATAAAAAATAAAAAAAAACTATTCTAGAACACCCCAAAAACCAAATCAAGACTTCGTAAAAGAGCATAATTAGGGATGTAACAATTCACTCAACTCACGATGCGATACACGATACTGAATTCACAATATGATTCTTACAATTTTTTTGGGGGTGCTTTTTTTTTTTTTTACAAAAGATTAAAGACAAATTCTAAATGAAAAGGTGTCCTTTTATATTGCTTTGTAGGGATGTAACGAGTCACTCAACTCAATGCGATAAAATTCACGATACTGATTTCACAATACGATTTTGTCGACTTTATTTTAACAAAATAAGATTTAAGACAAACTCTAAATGAAAAGGTGTCCTTTTATATTGCTTGGACAAAATGCTGCACATTTCTTTGTGAAATTTAAATGTCAAATAAAACGAAATTGAAATTTTAAAACAAACCCCAAATCAAATAAATAATACAATATAATACAAATACAAATAAAATGAATCATATAAACAAACTAAGGCTTTGTCTGTGCTCTTTCCATTTAAAATTAGAGGCAACCACTGTATTTTAATCATGATCCAACCCGTTTTTAATCTAGATTAAATTGTATAATTTCGAAATTTGAAGCAAAAACAGAATGGTCTGACTTTAGCTTTGTGAAACTGAGATGCAAATTCACTCTCTGACAGCAGGTGGCACGTATGGAACAGTGGCAATTAGTGGTCGACCAATATGGGTTTTTTGACTACTCAACTAGATTCGACTAAGTCTGCAAGGTTTGTGAAATTAAATGTTCATTAGTCATTCAAAGATTTGTTTAAATGATATAAATGCATATTTGCTGAATGCTGACGGCAAATGAGAAAGTATTATAATGTTTGCCTTTCTATTACTAATAATATTAAAGCAATCGTTATACTACTTTTTTGTATACATTTTAATTCCTTTGTTTAACAGTTCTATCTGATTATTAGATAGACTTTTATCTATATTAGACAGAACTGAATGACGACAACGAACAAGAGGGAGAATGTGAGCGGTGTGCGCTCAGGCGCTGCCGTTCTCAGCGCCGTCAAAATAAAAGTCTGTTTAATATATCATGCAGCCTTTGAAAACGGTCCAATAATGCGTTTCATGTTTTCTCGTCAGTGTAATGTGCAACTTCCAGTATTTTGCTGGTTACTCGACACAGGCAAAATAAAATTGAGGATTTTTTTTTTTTTTATCGAGTACTTCAATTGAATCGAGGAATTGTGACAGCCCTAATGAGTTTATGTGAGATTGATGAGATTATTTTAAAGTGTCCTTATTATGCATAATTACATACAATTACCCTAAACCAAACCCTAACCCTACCTACAGTAAGTACATTTAAGTACTGAGTAATGAACTACAATTACACTGTAACCAGAACACCATAAAATAAAGAGTAACCGAATATATTTAGGCTGATTTGTTTTATGTAGATACAATGTAATTTAAACTTCGTAGCATCTGTGACTCACAAACTTCTGGAAGATGGATAAAATATAACTGCTATTTTACTAGGCCTAGGTATCAGTAACTGTAAAGCAACATATGAACCAGATCGCAAAATCAGAGCAGCACCCAAGGGCTACAGCACTGTGATTGCCTAATTCACAAATGAATCTACTTCCCCTTCATAGGCCACACTAACATGTCCATGCTTATGTTCATACTTGTGTAATAATATACCGAGGTGACACTTCACACCTTTAGGAGCAACTGAGTCAGACAGAATTATGATAATATTTAATGTTTTAACAGCAAGATGTTTGTTTGTTAATAATTTAGCACCATGGCAAGAAACAAGTAAAAATAGAAAACAAACAATAAAAAAAAAAAAACTTTAACTTGATTGATTTCATAAAGTTTATTTGTGCTATACCAGTGGTTGCCAACCCATCGATCACGATCGACTGGTAGATCTTTATCACTATCCCAGTAGATCTCGAAAATAACTGAAAAATAAGTACAAAAATACATTAAATTTCTCCACTTTTTGTACAGTATTTTTTGTACTTATTTTTCTTGTTATTTTCGGGAGCTACCATGACAGCAATAATAATAATAAAAAATAAATAAATAAAAAAATCATGCCTGAGTCTGTAAGCAGGACATTAACAGAGGCCAGAGACGCTGAAGACGGACGCAAGAGGAGAAAATACTGTACAGGCAGAGCAGCTCACTGTTCACGATGAGCAAAATATAGGAAGAAAACATAAATATTGAACTGGGGGTGAGGGGTTATATGACTGTATCACTGAAGGGAATTGACTGAATTGTCTTGAGAAAACTTTCGATGGCAATGGCATTTTCTTCTCTTACTTCCATATAAAGTAGTATTTATAAACGCAATGCTGCTTTGTTTACAGCAGTAACCAAGGAAACACTATATTGCTGCTGCTCCATAAGCGTTACCTGCTGTCACAGAGTGAAATTGTGAGTCATTCAGACTTCCTGCTGTTTTTGTTTTTAGCAGGTATGTTTTTATATAGCATAATTTCACAAAGCTAAAGTCAGACCATTCTGTTTTTGCTTTAAAACCTGTAAATCTGGGGCTGGGTGATAATTCGATGACCATAATTATCGATAAAGCGATATGAAGAGTTCGATAAA